AAAAAAAAAAAAAAAAAAAAAAAAAATTCCAACGTACATATATGCAAATCTATTAGCTACTACAATATTCATTACTTCTCATACACGAGATCGTTCGATCTTACGAAGAACTTGGTGGATAAAGTATCACTTGGCAAGCGAAGTATTGCTCGTTGTTGGTAACGAGTTTTCCTTGTATTTTGTATCTGATGCTATGATTATTTTCAGAAGGGTCTCGCCGCATTTTGACGAAATGAACGTTGTTTCCACGTCCTCGGAGCAGGAAAGATGGCAGAAGGAAGTGATACGGTTTTTACAATCGCGCGGTCGTTTCAAACGGAGCAAAGAGTTTTTACGAGAACAACCGCTACAATAATGGTAAGAAACCAGAGTTCTTTACTTTTTTATGACATTATAGTACCTTCGGTTTTCTACCGGGGGGGGGGGGAATTTCCCATCTTCCACCATGTTTTCCACAATGTCCGTAGCCTCTTGTTACAGCTGCAAAAGAATACTGAAATTTTATAAATTTTATTTGGTATTTTATTGGAATAAAAACAGTCTGTGATTCTGAATATGTCTCAGACTGATGCACGCTTGTTAACGATAATAATACGCGAGGGAAATCTTAGTTACGAATGTTTACATATGTATATGTAATGTATACATATGTTTACATATTTATATATATATATGTGTGTGTGTGTGTGTGTGTGTGTATGTAATGTATTTAAATACTAACCTTTAATTTCAGATATTCTTCAGTCCGCTCACAACCAGTAGCGTGGAACGATATCGCCTCGTACAAACTTCCCTCTCGACTGATGGCGCGAATCCGAATGATCGTCGGATGCGTTGACCGGCTAATTTTATGCAGAAGCTACCTCGTGTCACTGGCGATTATTTCGTAATTGAGTATGAAAGTGAAGCAATCTAGATAAACTTCAGCATACTTTATCTACACAGAATGAATTTCAATAAAAACTTTGTACATCTCTTATAACATATGTAATTACTTTCTCGCGTGATGAGACTGTATAGCAATCATAATTGTGTAACCTGTCAGTTTCTATAGTTACTATAATATAATATACTTCAAAATCGGACAATCGGATAAAACGTCTGCAATATAATTCATTGAGAAGGCATTCTTCTCAAACTTAAACATCGATAAAATTTTTTTCTTTCTTTTTTCAAATAATGAAGTGAACACAGTTGAACAGGGCGAGGAAATATATTTCACATATATAGCTTGAATTTAGTTAAAAATCAAAGTAGCTGATGCAAGTGGCCGGTCAACAACGTGTTGATAAACCCATTAGCCGTAACACTGGATCAATCGTGGGGGACACGTTTGCTCGAGATTCGAGGAAGATTTTCTCCGCGACATCAACGGGGAAGGAAGACAAAAGAAGAATGGTGTTTGTGGAAAATTGAAGTTGATCAGCGCCCGGAAGTTCACAGAGGGCCAATTCGACCGAATTTGCCTGAGGAAATAACGACAGATAATTTCCGCGAGCTCGCATGCATGAAACCAATGCTGTTGCCTTATCTCGCGAGAGAGAGTGAGAGAGAGGGGGAAGAGAGTTGCATCTTCGAAAGAGGGAGAAGTAGTAGGGTTAAAGGGGAGAAAATAGGCAGAACCGCTGGTGCTATCATCCCATTGGATAGCGATACACTGGAAGCTGACCAATCCTGTACCGCGACGAAACGATGGCTTCTCGGTGGATTGGCAAGGTCATATAAATTCCTGTTTCACCAACTAGTCCCTCCA